TGGAGGCAGCTTTGCCAGGGGCTCCATGGCACAGCATGCTCGGGGCACACCCTGAACACGCCCACTGCCAAGTGTGTGTCCGGGAGGGAGCGTGGAACCGTAATGAGCAGGCGGAGCTCAGCCCGGCCGGCCGCAGAGGGGCATCACGATGGCAGATTGCTGGGTCCCGGTGTCTCTTGCAAAATCCTGGGCTGCAGCCACCCGTGCAGGGGGCGGGGAGGCTGGGAGGGGGGGAGGGAGGGAGGGAGGGGGGAGGGAGGGAGCTTATTTGATCTGCAGGTGAAAGGAGTCTTTATAAAGAGGTCACCTTGTTCCACATCCTGAAGTTCACTCTTTCTCCATCTTGGGTGAAAACAATGGCTTTACTGTTCTGGGGTGGTCAGTCGGACGCAACGGGCGAGGGGCCTAGGTGTGAGGGGGTGGGTGTGTCTCTGCCACTCTCCAGTGGCCTCCCCGTGTGTCCCCCACCATCTGTCCCTGGTCACCTTGGACGTGTCGCCAGCAGAGCGTCCTAGTGCTCTGCCAGTAGGTCCTTTCTTACTGTGCGGAACAAAAGGACAACTTTGTATAGCAGTGGGGCTCCCCAGCTAATGGACCCGAAAGAGTCTGGGGGAACGGGAGGTCAGCAGACGGTGGCTTTCACTGAGGGACATCAGCAGGTCTTGGGCAGATGCTGTGCAGCCGCCTGGAGCCGAGAGCTGAAATCCTTGTCCCTCCAGGGTCTCTCTTCCAGGCCCTCATGCATCCTCGCCTCCCTCACCTCCTCCAGAGCTGGTCTGCCCGCCAGCATCGCCGGGCCCCTGGCAGGTGCACGGCCACAGGCCACCTGCCTACCTGGGTCTGGGTCGGAGCAGCTGTTGTCTCCTTGTGTGGAGACAGCTACCCCCTATTTACTGGGCAAATGAAGATCTGTGGTTGACAGTGTGAGTGGGTGGCCCTGGACATGTGTTGCAGAAATCATGTCCTATTTAGGATGGCCTTTTGTATGTGTCTTTCTGCCTCTCAAACTTTTTTTAAAAGATTCTTTTTGTTACAAAACATGGATTTTATATAAAAAAAAAATCAATGCAAAAAGAATGAGCCTGTCTTTCTTCCTACCTCCTCTCCAGGACTAACCGTTGTCAAAGGTTTGGGGCTTATTAAACCTTTCTCCGTGCCTACAAGCAGATCAACAGGCATGCAGAAAACACTGTTGCGCCGTTGCTCTAAAAGGTAGCAGCACCGAGTGTGTTGAGTCAGCAGGTCCCAGGGGCTGCCTCCTCTCCAGGCGTTAGGGAACCACCGAGCTGTGCAGCGGGCTCAGAGGCATGCTGGTTAGGGGCTGCCCCATCGCACCTGCGCACCAGGCGTCTTGTCCCACTTCAGGCCTGTCTCTCTGGGACACGCCCCCCCCCCCCCCCCCCCGCCTGTGTAGGGGCGACCTTTCCCCCACATCCCCTCTGGTCTGCCAAACACCACTTCCTCCGGAGACTTGCAGAACGAGAAAGCAGACGTGGGTACACCCAGCAGCCTCCTGCTGTGGCTCCTGCCCCTCCCAGCCCCTCCCCTTCAGAGCGAGTCACCACCTTAGATCCTCTCAGGCTTAGGGCGTAGATGGGTGCGCCCTGTCTGTCCCCCGGACAGCTCGCTCGCTCGCTTCAGAGTCCCTTTGACGCTCGGGCCCCTCTCGGGATCAGGGGCCAGGGCCGCTCCCTCTGCATCTCCCAAGGGGTGGTGAGGCCCCCCTGCCCCCACCTGGGCCACCAGAGGATCCTGAACAGGCAGAGGGAAGCGGTTTGTGAGGGTCTCTCTCTGCTGTGGGCCCCGGCAGCCCCTCTCCCAAGCAGCCCTCCTCTGATGTTGATGGCAGCACTGGTCCCAGGCCCCCGGACCTGCAATGTTTCTGGGCCAGCACCAGGAGGACCCAGCTCTGGGATGCTCATCCACTTAGAGAGGGCCCCCTGGGAACCCCATCAGACACATGGCTCTCTCTGGTGGGTTCTGGGGGGCCGGAGCCGCCCCTGGCCCTCAGTGGCTGTCAGGGACACTGGGCTGAAGGCTTTTGCCCCCTTGGGCAGTGAGCCCTGAATTGACTTCAGATAGCAGCAGGGTTGTGTGTGTGTGGCAGTGGTGGGGTGCAGTGGGGGCTCCTCCCCCTGGGATCGCAGCGCAGCCTAGCTGGGTGCAGACTGCCCTCCCCTCTCCCCAGAGCCGTCACTGTCATTGTGTGACCCCCTGCGTCCTCTGCAAGGCTGCAGGGGTCTCCTCAGAGGCCGGTGTCTGGCAGATCAGTGTCCCTGCTCTGGCTGGGACTGCCTCGCCCCCTCTGTGCCCTTTGCCCCCGCCCCACCCCTGGCTCAGGGCCAATGCTGCCTCCATGTGCTGGCTTTGGTCCTGGGGACAGTCCCCACTTCATACACACGCGAGTGCTGGCCAGGTGGGGCAGGCTGCTGAGCTGTGACCAGGGGAGAAGAAAGACGTGATGAGGAGTGGGCCGAGGCCCACCACAGACCCCGGTCACTGCCCAGCTACTCGTCCACAGGGATGACTTGACCACACGTCCCTGACAAGAGAGAAGTGTGTTGGGTGCCCTGGCTGGTGTGGGTGGTGTGCCACGTGAGGAGGGATCGATGTGACACTCCTGAGTGACTGCCCTGAGTCCCACCCACCATGGCGTGGGCTCTAGAACTTAGGCTCCAAATCAGAGCGTCTCTAAGTGCCTTTCTGACCTGAGCTGTAGCAAGTGGTGCTGGGAGAATCCCACTGAGAACGGCTGAGGGCTCCCTGCAGCCGCGTGGGAGGGAGAGGAGCAGAGAGCTGCACGCGCACGCCCCACACATGCACGCCTACACGTGTCGGGGGCTTCACGTTCATGGACATGGAATTAAAACATAGCTTTATTTGGGTAACAGAAAGACCCAAAATCCACGTCGACAACAGGTCTTTGGAAGTTCATGGAAAATGCTCATTATGAAATATCTTGGTGTAGATTTCAAGAGCTTTATGCACCACGTTACACTGATCTAATTCCACCTTCCAGGAGCTTTTAGAAGTCTGCTCACGTGTACACATGCATGCACACATGTGTGCACACGCATTTTCTCTCCAGTGACAATTCCCGTTCCCCAGGAGCTGTGTGGAGGGAGCCGCTGGTCTCGCACGTGCTCCTTGCACACTTGGTCTCCCAAGGGGGTGTCCAGACAGAGGGAAGGGGGTGGGTGCTTCCATGTCCCACCCCCACAGCTCTGACTTGACCTTGGACCGGCTTTGCCAGCTCAGACAGACACAGGAGGGGGTCAGGGAGGAGCAGAGCGAGGGAGCTCAGAGAGGCTGTAGCCGGCTCCGCTGTTGCTACCGTTAGTGAAACCCTGGTTCCACCCCCAGACGTGGGCTCCCTCCACCCGAGGCAGCCCCAGAGCCACAGGCTGCCCCGTAGCAGGGTCACGGAGGGCATCCTGGAGGTGGTGGTGCTCCCCAGAAGAGGAGACAGGGACTGGACTGGGATTGTCCTGGGAGATCCAGGATGTGAGGGCTGCAAGTCTACAGAACTTTCTAGAGCCTAGGCAGTTTCCACAGCTGCAGAGGGGTATGTCGGCTCTACGCTGTCTTTGCTGACACTGAACACAAGGGATCTATGCCTGTGTCCTGTGATCATGCCGATGGGGTGGTGTGGACCCTCTGTCTCACCTAAGGGAAGAGTCTGCTGCGAGCCAGCCTCGTGGGGCCTCTCCCCAGCACAGAGGGGGCAGTGCAGGTCACCCCACTGCCCATCCTGCTGCAGATCCTGCCTCACCTCTCAGCCTGCTCCAAGCAGGAGGCCTGTGCTCCAAGGTCCCTGGTGCCCGTGTGTCTGGAGCCTGCAGCCTCCCATGCTGGTCCCTCTTTGTTCTCTTCATTCCTGATTCAGGCAGCTCGGAACAAACGACCCAGCAGCCAAGGCCTGCGGCCTCCTGCCCAGCCTCCTCTGCCCGCTCTTTTGGCTCCATTTACTGAGCGGGGAGCCTCTCTTCCTTTAACTTGTCTGTGGGATCCCAGGAGCCCGTCCCCCAGACTGGCCAGCCAGGAGTCCCTTCCGGAGGCCAGGGAGGTGTGTCATGGGAGAAAGAACCTTTGCTCTTGGGTGAGGCCCAGGGACCCAGAACAGCGTGGTGTGTGCCCTCACCTGAGGCTGGACACCCAGGCTGGGGACGTCCTGCAGCCTCCACCGGCTCCTGGGCTGTTTGCTGGAGAGCGGGATGGAAGCTGGGACGGTGCCTGCAGCCTGCGGCCCCATCTTACTCAGAGGCCGGGGCCAAAATGCTGGCTTCTATAGTGGAAGGCGGTGGGTGGGAGCTAGAGGTGGTCTCTCATCCCAGGGTTGGTCCACGAGTGCCCGGGGACCCGGGGTGGTGCCCCCGTGCCCGGCTGAGTTGGGGCCGTGAGAACAGCATCACCAGTGGCAGCTGCCCCTGTATGGCAGAGACCTGCTCCGGGACGTGCTGCGGCCTCAGGGTCCCTCCCGCCGAGTGCACTTCCCCTGCCCCGCTGAGCTTTCCGTCTACGCCGAGGGGTCTGCGGGAAGAGGCGAGGGCCCGGATCCGGCATCGTCAGCCTGGGGCTCTGCCTTCTCTCCGCAGCCCAGCCAGGACGGTGCTTCCGCCTTTGTTTTGACACAGCACGTGTCCGCTGTGCTGTGACTGACTCCAGGCTCTGTGCCTCCTGGGAAACCCCGTTGAAGGCATTTGGGGGGTGTTTGCAGCGTGTCCCATACTGCACCCAGTGTGCAGGAGGGCGACTCTGGTCCCCAAGCCCACCTTTCCACGCAGACCACAAGGTAGAGGGCCCCTTCCTGGAACAACACGGCCAGGGGGACGGAGGGACACTTCATCTGTGCCCAGGCCCTGGCTGGCCCCACATCCGGTGTGAGGGGAGCCTGGCGCAGGCTGCCGGGCCCTGGGTGCGAGGCTGTGGCCCCATGCACCACATCACTTAGTCCTGCAGCCCTGCTCACCCAGCCTCCTATCCTTCTTTCTGTCCACCAGGCATAGCAGAACTGCACGGTGTACAAGGACCCCCTAGCAACCTCCTGCAGGGATTCTACTTGGTGCTGATCGGGAACCTGGAGACAAGACCCCAATTGATGCTAGTGCCCCGGGAGTGGGCGTGAAGGTGAAGCCAAGGGCCACCATGGGTCAGAAGGTCCCCGGAGGGATCAAGACCGTGGGCATGAGGGACCCCGTGTACCGGCCTCTGAAGCAGGAGCTCCAAGGCCTGGACTACTGCAAGCCCACGCGGCTGGACCTGCTGCTGGACATGCCCCCCGTGTCCTACGACGTCCAGCTGCTGCACTCGTGGAACGACAATGACCGCTCGCTCAACGTCTTCGTGAAGGAGGACGACAAGCTGATCTTTCACCGGCATCCGGTGGCCCAGAGCACGGACGCTATCAGGGGCAAGGTCGGGTACACGCGTGGGCTGCACGTGTGGCAGATCACGTGGGCCATGAGGCAGCGGGGCACACACGCCGTGGTGGGCGTGGCCACGGCCGACGCCCCCCTGCACTCCGTGGGATACACAACCCTCGTGGGGAATAACCACGAGTCCTGGGGCTGGGACTTGGGGCGCAACCGGCTCTACCATGACGGCAAGAACCAGCCGAGCAAAACGTACCCAGCCTTTCTGGAGCCAGATGAGACGTTTATCGTCCCGGACTCCTTCCTGGTGGCCTTGGACATGGATGACGGGACCCTGAGCTTCATCGTGGACGGACAGTACATGGGAGTGGCTTTTCGGGGACTCAAGGGCAAAAAACTGTATCCTGTCGTGAGTGCCGTCTGGGGCCACTGTGAGATCCGCATGCGCTACTTGAATGGACTCGATCGTAAGTGTCCCCTGCAGTGTCCTCCCACGTCCTGGCCCGGCGGGGGCCAAAAGTTCCCACCGGTGTTGGGATCGCATTGTCTGTAGGTAGACATCGCAGTGTGTTCACATGCTCAGAGGCAGCTCCTGCCTGTGTCTGTTAAATGAAGAATTCTGGCCAGGGCAGTGCGCCGTGGACGGATGGATTCATGTGTGGAGGATGGAGGGTCAGGTGATGGATGGATAGATGGGTGGATGATGGGCGACACACGGATGGACAAATGGATGGGTCGATGATGGATGGATGATGAGTGAATGGCTGGCTGGATAATGGATGGACGTATGGATAAATCGATGGCGGAATGGACGGATGAACGGATGGGTAGATGCATGGATGGATGGATGGGCAAATGATGGAGGCGTGGTCTTTGGTTGACCTGCCTCCAGGTTTGATCCGCACTTGACCTGATTCTAGTGCAGTGGCCAGTGTATCCTGAGCTGGGGTTTGAGCCTCGGTGACACTAGGACCTTCCGGATGCTTGAAGGCTCCTGGCCTCGTGCCCACTGGGCAGGGCCAGGCTTCTTCCCAGGTGCTGGAGGTTTATGAGTGGACCCTTTGAGACGTAGTCCCGGGAGCCCTGCTGTGGTGATGTCAGGAGACTGCCAGGGAGGAGCAGGCTGATTAGAATGATTAGAAACAGCTGAGCTGAGTCAGCAGCGACTTCTCCCGTCCCTTGGGAAAGGGGCGTGGCCTTTCTCAGGTTATGTCAGAACAGCTTGTGGGGTGGCTGTGTGCTGGTGTGGAGGTGGGGGGACCCATGGTGCCCTGCGGGGAGCCTGTGGTGGCAGGAGGTCCTGGTGTTCCAGAACTATCTGCCCCTGTGCTGGGCCCTTACTCTGGGGACTCCTGGCCTGCAAATCCCACTGGGATAGACCAGAAAGCTCTGTGCACCTTGCGGGCTGTCTGGAAGGGGCAGGTTTGAGCGTGCAGGCCAGGAGAGTGGAGGGTGAAACAGAGTGAGTTCTGTGAGTCCATCTCCCCAGGAGTCAGACACGCGCGGTCCTAGCCAAATTTGCGGGGGGGGGGGGGGGGGGATGGGGAGGGGAGGGAGGTGACGACCATTCTGTGCAGGCAGACAGATGCGGGGGTTGCCCGAAACTGGTCCGAACAGGCCGAGTGCATCTGCACAGCTGCACCCGGGCCCGCGTCGCCCAGCCCCGTGCTGGCCCCGGTGCAGCTGGGCGGGGAGCCAGGGCACAGCTCCGCGGGCTGATTCTGCAGAAACAGTCCCAGAGGCCTGGGCGTGGGCTGACAGGCGATGATGCCCCCTTAGGAAGGCGGGGCTTCCGAAACTTCCTCGGGGGTTTGGAAGCCGGGAGTGCTGGGCGGGGAGCCGACAGGAGAGCGGGAGCGTGGGGCTGGGAGTGCATCTGTGGGCTGGGATGTGTAGGGAGCGCCGAGTGTCGGTGACAGGACGCCCCCCCCCCCCCCCGCTGGCTTCCCGGCTTCTCGCCTTCCCCAGTCCAGGCCGGACAGCAGGGGCTCCACTCCACGTGGCCACTTGCCTTTGGAGAGGCCACAGGAGAGCTAGATGTGGCGGTCCCTGGGCACAGCAGCCTTGGGCGATGTTTCGTCATCAGTCCCACTGCAGGGATGGGCCGGACGAGGGCCCTGTGTCAGAACCCCCGCCCATACCAACACCTCGGTGCCTTTACTGAGGAGGTGGCTCATGTCCTGTGAGGGTCCTCTGGCTGCCGGGTAGAGAGGGGGTGGCCCTCAGCCGTGACAGTTGTCCAGGTGAGAGGCGACAGGGCTGGGGCCCGTGGCAGAGAGGGGCCAGGTCCTGGAAGGTGCGCATCAGTGGACTGAAGATGAGCGTAGGAGGGGAAGCATCGCGGTGAGTCCCGGTGTTTGGCCTGAGCAGGTGGGAGGGTGGGGCTGCTGCCCAGCAGGGTGGGGGAGTCAGAGCGAGGAGCAGGTGAGCAGCTGTGTTAAATTGGAGGTGTGTTTGGTGTCTGGGACAGTGGTGCATGCAACAGAGCGTGGAGGTCACGTGAGGAGGTCACATGAGGACAGGTGATGTTTAAAGCCGTGCCCTGCTTGGGTTCACCCTGAGAGTGGGGGTGGGGCAGAGCCAGGGCAAGAGGGCTGAGGCCCCGCCCTGTTTAGGGGCCAGAGGGCTGAGGAGGAGAGGCCGGGTGGCTGGAGGGGACCCAGGAGAGTGGGCCGGGAGACACAGGTGCAGACGGAGCTTCAAGGACAGGTCGACCCCAGGTCAAGTCCGTTGACAGCTGTTCTGGATACAAGGAGGTCACTAGTGACCTTGGCAGTGGTCACCTGTGTGGGGTGAGGGCTAAGCCTAAAGGAGGAAGAGGCAGGACATTGCATAACAAGTGGTCACAAGCAGCAGCAACAGCAAGTCCCCTCCCAGTGCTGGAGGCCTGTGTCCCAACTCAGGATGTCACAGGCATGGCTCCATCTGAGGCTCTGGGGGGGGACCCCCACTCTGTACCTCTCTGGGCAGCTGCTGCTGGCTGCTGGCTACGCTGGATTCCTTGGCTCACCTGTGCGTCCCTCTCTCCTGCTCTGTCCTTACCTGGCGTCACCCCGCATGTCGCTCTGTCCTCTCCTCCTGGAAGGCCACCAGCTCTGATTTAGGGCCTCTGCGGGACCAATTAGCTCTGCAAAGCTCCTATGTCCGAGTGAGGTCACGCTCTGAGGTTCCAGGTCAGCAAGAATTGGGTGATGGGGGTGGGGGTGGGCACACGACTACACCTGCTCTGGAGGTGACGAGGCTAGCCCATCCCCTGAGCCCTTCAAGGCCACCGGACTGTGTGCTTTGCTTCCAAGGCAGCTGAGGAGGTGAGCCCGGGTCCTGGAGTCCCTAAGGAAGCTCTGGCCAGGTCTGGCCAGATCTGTCTTCTCCCTGTTCAGCCTGAAGTCAGGCTTGGCTGTCACTGTCCGGAGGTGGCTCAGCTCCCTGGGATGTCTGGGACATGGTCAGCAGCCACCCCGTACCCCCACACTGAGGACATCTCCCTCCTCAGTCCCCTGTCCCTGTGCTGAGCCTGTCCCTGTGTGACCTCCCCACTGGCCAGCCCACTCTGACCACAGGCCGCTTTGGTGCCTCCCAGGAGCTGCTGTGTAGCCCTCGCTGGAGGCGAGATGGCAGTCGCTGCTGGGGTGCAGAGCCTGGCTGGGCCCTAGGCCTGAGATATGGAAGCAAAAGACCCCTTAGGGAGCCCTCCTGGGTCCTCCATCCCGTCCCCCACCCCCACAAAGGACACGGTTCCCCTGTGGTTCAGCACTGAAAAGTCTCTCTTGTGCAGCTCCCTGATAACTTTGGTGGTCGAGGGTCAGCGAAGGCTCAGCCCTTCTCCTCCAGAACCTTGGCCTCCGTGGCCCCCCCTCGGCCTCCTAAGACACCCTCCTGGGCGCACCCCCACCCCCTGCCCGGGCAGCTCCTTCAGCCCACGGTGGCATCCGTTTCTGTGGCCCTGTGCGCTGTCGTTTTACTCCTATAAGATCAGGGAGGTGTGAGCTGTGTGTCCTTGGTGCCCCCTGGGCGACTCTCATCACTGTCACATCACGCAGGAGTCACTGAGACATCTCATCACTGTCACATCACACAGCCTCCCAGGATGGGGTGGCTGGGCGTGACCCAAGCAGCCAGACTCCCCCACAGCACACAAGGGCTCCCTGCACGGCTAGGGCTCAGCCTTTGCAGTCCCAGGCACTCAGGCCTTGGGCCCCAGGCTGCCACCTGCCGGGGCCCGTTTCCCCGTCTGTAGGTTGGGGGCCGCAATCCCTCCCGGCACACAGCAGGTGCAGCCTCTGCTGGTGCCGTGATGGTAGCTCCCAAAACGAGCCCCTGGAACCGAGGCTCAGGCATTGACTGGAAATACAGAGAACACGGTGGTCCTGGGACTCCCCCGGCCCGCACTCCTGCAGCCTGGCGAGGCCCTTGGGCCCATTTAGGGGTTTAAATGCTTTCCCTGGTGCCTTCCAAGCTGCACGAGAGGCCCTTCTGCCTCCCAGAGGGCCCTCGGAAGCTTAGTTGGGTGGAATTTTGGGGAAAAATCTGACCTAGATCGGACGGTGAAACTGAGGCCTGGGCCAGGAGTGACCTGAAGGGAGGGGCCGGCACTCTCAGGAGGCAGGTGCGGGAGACCCAGCCTCCACTGCAGAGGGTCTGTGGCGCCCTGGGCCCTCGAGGACGGAAGGTCATTTAGCGCATCCTCCTGCCTCAGAGGCGTATCCACAGCTACCCAGGAAAGGCCCCGTCTCAAGCTTTCTGCTAAGAACGTTTGCCATTTCATCTCCTGCCCCCGCCTGCCTGGCGCTGTCCTCTGCTGCCCACGGGCGGGGAAGAGCCACTGTCTTCTTTCAAAGCTAAAACTCAGCCAGTCCAGTGTCAAGCATAAAATGGAGAGATATATTTTATTTGAAAGGCAGACAGAGAGAGAGAGAAATCTTCCATCGGCTGGTTCACTCCCCAAATGGCTGCAATGGCCAGGGCTGGGCCAGGCTGAAGCCAGGAGCCTTGAAGTCCACCTGGGTCTCCACGTGGGTTACAGGGGCCCAAGCACATGGGCTACCCTCTGCTGCTTTCCCAGGCCACTAACAGGGAGCTGGGTCGGAAGTGGAGCAGTGGGGACTCGAACCGGTGCCCCTGTGGGAGGCCAGTGTCATGGGCCACAGCTTGGCCCGCTGTACAATGCCAGCCTTGTGATTTTTCAACCCTTTTGAGCCACACTGGTTCAGTCCGCTTTATTGGCTGAATGGAATGTTTCTCCTATTTTGTGTTCTGTCCTCTATGTCGGTCACAAAGGAACCTCCTAGTCAAGGGGAGACCACAGGCCATTTGTTTCTGCTCCAGAACCCTGTGGGCTGAGCAGTTCCGGGCGCACCCCCTGTACCTGGATAGGGAAGAGAGCAGACGGGGCTCCACCTGGGGAGGCCATGTAGGGGTGACCCTCACCGCCGTGGGCTGCCACTGGCGGCATCTCCGAGCTGCAGGCTGAGCAGAGCCCTTGTCCAGCGCCCTTGTCTGAGGTGCTGTCACAGCCGCTCTGTAATCGGGGTACGTGGGTTCCCCTGGCTGTGAGTCGAGGCCAGCATGGGGGGAGGTGGCCTGGCAGCTCTTGGGGTCCCAGCTGCCAGGGGCTGGCAGCTGTTGGGCGCGAAGAAGCCCAGAAACCTGGGCCGTCTCCAGCTCCTACTTGGCCGACTGCTGTGGCCCTCAGGCTGCGTCGTCAGGCCAGGGTGACCTGACCTGCAGGGCCCGTGACCGTCATGTGGGACTCTGGGCCGTCCCCTCCTAGGCCTTCATGGACAGCACTGTTTGCTGGCCAGGAACGCAGACGTGGGGCCAGGCTGCCTGGCCTTGGATCCCAGCCTTGGCCCGGGCACGTCCCTTTCTGGAAGTACCTGGGGCGGAGGAGGGGGAGGGCACGTGCTGGGGGGAGCTGGCACCCGTGGACCCCAGACCCACACACACTGCTGGGCTGCTTGTCTGGGCAGGGCAGCGAGTGTGGCCCGGTGAGCAAGGGCAGGGGCGGTCATCTCCAGCCTCTTGGCCCTGGCACGGTATTCAGACTGCATCCATCAGTTTCCTCGTCTGTGAAATGGGCGTGACAACAGTGGCACCTCTGTCACCAGCAGGCAATGGCAGGGACCCTCCAAGGTGCCTGGCTGTGAGTGAGGACTCTGACTTCGCTCTCTGTTTCTGCTTAGAAATCAGATTATTGGGTTATTCGTCGTCGTAAGATGAATGTGCACTACTGATGAGCTTGCTCTTGGCCTTGGTCTCGGCTGTGCCAGCCCAAGCCGTGCTGACCTGAAATTCTCTCTGTGTCCCCAGCCGAGCCCCTGCCGCTCATGGATCTCTGCCGGCGCTCGGTGCGCCTGGCCCTGGGCAAGGAGCGCCTGGGCGCCATCCCCACGCTGCCGCTGCCTGCCTCCCTCAAGGCCTACCTCCTCTACCAGTGACGGACGCTGCGCCCTGGGACCTCCACCTCCACGGCCACCTGGCGCCAACTCACTGAGCCGCCGCCGCCGCCGGGGCCACCGTGCCTGCGCCTGGGACCACCGACCGCAGCCCCGGGCAGAAGTCCCTGCCCTTCCTCTTCATCCTCCCCGGCTGCCTCTGCCGGCCCAGGACCGATTGTGACCCAGGCTTCTCCTCCCCCCGCCTGACACTTCCAGGAGGCGGTGTCCCTGCATGTGAGAAAGAAACAGAGAATAAATTCCTACGCAAGCCGTGCGTGGCACTCCAGTCTGCTGCCGGGTGGGGCACAGGGCTCCCCACACCCTCAGGGACAGGCTGCCACCCGGGGGGGGTCCCAGGGTGGTGGGAGGTGCCCTGGCTCGGAAAGCAGGTGCCAGGGGGTGCTCAGCGGTGCTCAGATAAGGGCCAGGGCCGGGCCGTGCAGGGGAAGCTCAGGACGTCCGAAACGCACCCTGGACTCCCAGGCAGAAGCCACAGTGGAAACTTCCACGGCCGAGTCAGCCTCGACGCTGGCTGCTGCGGAGCCCTGGGCCCTGTATTTATTCTTGCAACATAACAGAAGTCAGTTATTTATTTCACATAGACAGGAACCTGTGCTTTGGTAGCCTCGCCCTAGCATCTTCTGTTGCTTTCCTGCAGCCTGCCCCTCCTTGGGATGTGTGTGCCTCCCCTGTCCTCCCGGGCCACCCCGGGTGTGTGTGCGTGCATGTGCTCCCCGAGCGGCCCCTCAGGGAGAATTCACCTCCTGTGCAATATGAGAGACCCCGGGAGGCCGTGGGAGAGGGCTGGGCACTTCCCAGGGGCTCCGGGCAGCCCCTTGAGCGCCGGCGTTCAGACGGTTTTGCACATGGCTGTACTTGGATTTGGCATTTGCTTTGCTGGCTGAGATTTCCCAAGTGCATCCTCAGAGGCTCTGGGCGTCCCCAGGGACTCCCAGAGAGAAGAAGTGAGGAGAGAGGGTCCCCGGCCCAAGAAGCCAGAGGCAGGGGGAGACCGTGGGAGCCAGCCCCCGTCTCTGGGCGTCCCCAGGGACTCCCAGAGAGAAGGAGTGAGGAGAGAGGGTCCCCGGCCCAAGAAGCCAGAGGCAGGGGGAGACCGTGGGAGCCAGCCCCCGTCTCTGCCCGGTACCCCCACCTCGGCTCCAGGCCTGCATGGAACAGCCCAACTCCATCGCGACCCTGGCGGAGCCCGTGCAGGGCTGCTGGGCGCCGGCGGGGGCGCGGAGACTGCCGGCCCGCCCGCTGCCCGCGGAGCGCGCCCAGCCCCTGCCGCCACACTCTGCAGTTCTTCTCTCGGTTCATTTCTGCATAGGTACAATAGAGAACTTTATTTGTTTAAATGTTTAATATATATACATATATATATGTTTGTCTGTAAAGAATTATGTTTTAAACAGCTGCTGTAGGTCACCTTTTTAAAAAATAAAAAATCTTCCAGTGAAGTATATTTTTTAAAGCACAAACTTGGTGCCAAAACTGGGTGAGGAATGTAAGTGACCCCTTGTTATCTGAAGGGTGTTTTCCTTTCCAGGGCGGGAGACCTTGCCTGTAAGATCTGGAAAGATCATCCTGGCTCCCGTTCCGGGATGGCTCACGCGTCCACGAGTGTCGGCAGAGAGAGTGCCACTTGCACAGATCACAGCCTCTGGCCCCCAGGGGCACCGGATAAATCGCTGGGCTCTCTCTGCACCGTCCACCCTGACCCAGGAAGCCCCCAACCCCGCCTCCTTTCCTATCAGCCCAGAGCCTTGTGGCTTGTACAGTTCTATCCTATGATGGTTGGTAATAGGCAGTAACCTAATAAAGGAACGTTTGTTAAAACAGAAAACCACTGTTGAGTCGCTCCTCTGTGTCTTGGGGGGAGGGGTGGCCAGCACCTCCTGGGTCCAGCCAGCTCCGGTTTCCAGCAGGTTAGGGGGTGACTCCCTGCCACCCCTTGGCAGAGGGTGGGATGCGAGCAGAGCGCCAGCGGGAGGAGGGGAGTCTTGCTTGGGGGGTGAGGGCGTGGTCCTAGATGGCCCCCATCCTGTGTCCGAGGTTGGTGACACCGGCTGACCCAAGAGGAGGGGAGCCTGCGCGTTAGTGAGCACCTCTGTGTTGGCAGCGCTGCGAAGCGTGCATTGACCGCGGGCGTTCTAGGCGCAGAGTGAGGCAGCCTGGGCGTCCTCAGAGTCCCGGCTCAGCCCCTGTCTCGTGTCCTCTCTGTCCGGGGCTCAGGGACGCTTGGTGACTTTGCTGAGTGAACCTGTTCTGGCCGCCATGGAGGTGGGAGTCCCTGGCAGAATGCCTGGCTGGGTGACGGGACCGGTGAGTGACCGACACGCAGGAGTTCAACGCAGTCGATACGGCGACCGGTTCCCAAGGAATCCGCAGAGCTCCTGCTCCGCGTGGGGGTTTTCCATCCTGCAGGGACGGCTGGATCTGGGGGTGCCCGGCCTGAGGCCCCAAGAGCTCTGGGACCAAACTCCCACGTCCCTTTTCTCTCGGAGCCCCCTGGCAGCTTCGTAGACTCCCGTCATCAACACGACCCGTGTGGTGTCTGTTAGAAGGCACATCCCAGGGCCCTGCCGGAAGCGCCCGCGACCAACATTCCCCGAGGTGACCACGGTGGCCGCGTCAGCCCCCTCCCCGGCAAAGCTGCTGGGTAGAGAGAAATTATCCCAGCGCACTGCTGGCGTGGCCCAGCAGCGGGCACAGGAGCTCCTGCGTCAGACCTGGGTTCCACACTGGCCTTGTGGCCGTGGACGGGCCTGTGGCCGTGGCAGTCCCTGCACTGCTGCCTCCCGGGCGGGTAGCACTGGGGGGACAAAGTCTCAGCACGGGGCCTGGCTACTCAGCAAGTGCGCACGCAAATGCTGCACACGGCAGCTCCCGCATCAGGATTTCTGTCTTGGAGTTTGACCAAACACTCCTATACCAACATCCTGATAAATCCTCCTTCCCACGGAAGGTCTGCAAAGACCAAGGTGGGTCTGGGGGAAAGGGACCCTTAGGTACCTGCCCCGGGTGAGGTTGCAGGAGCAAGGCAGCCTGAAACTATTCTCGGGTTGCAGTTCACGCCTGGGGCGCAGTTGAAACTGGCTTCCTTCGCAAAGGGTGGCAGGGGAGGAGTGGGGCCGGGCATTGGGGGCAGGGACGCGGGGGGCGGGGGGAGGACTTTTGTGCCGCCGGAAGGCTTCTAGGGGAGCCGAGTTTGTGCTGAGGGCGTGGTGTTAGCGAAACCATCTGTGTAGACGGGGCCCATGTGGTTGTGGTTAATCCCCTGCCTTGGAGCAGGTAGCAGCCCTCGGGACTTGGCCATAGATGGGGAGCATCCTCCCGCCCCCCCCCCGCCCTCCCTCCAGCTCCTCGGCAGGAGGAACGTGGACTCCACTGAACCATAGACTACGCGGGGGGAGCTGGGGAGGGGGCCGAAGACAGAGCAATTAGTTCATGCTCCAGTCCAGACACCCAAACATGGTTGGACTCCAGCTGCAAGGAATATTTGAAATAAATGAGCTGCCCGGGGCCAGGAGTTTGCTGTGTTTGCTGCTCGGGGCCATGGCAACCAGGCAGGAAACCATGAGCTGCGGACACAACACATGATGTCCTGGCCGGGCCTGCCCCGGGAAAGCCGCTCGCGGCGCTTCTAGGGTTTCTGGGGACCCGGCTGCTGGCAGCAGACGCGGCCTGGCCGTCCCGGGGCACTCGGGCCTCCGTGTCATCTCCTGGGCTCTGATATTTTTTTTCTTTTTTGTAAGAGAAGAGAAAAATGGACTCTCGTCGCTGCCCGTCTGATAACGATTTTCCTGGGCAGAGAGAGGGAGAGAAAGCCCAGGCAGGGGGCAGCTGGCTGGGCGGACAGTAGCACTGACCTCTGGCCTGGCCCTGGCCCAGTGCTCGTGCCCGGGGCAGCCTCTTTCTGGGCGGTGTCCCGATGGATGTACGTGTGAGTGATAGATCTAACAGCGGGTCTCGGCCTGAAATTCACCGAAGCCTCCTGTGTGTAACGCCCCCCCCCCGGGAATTTAGGGAGACGACAAACTCCCAGCAAGGGTGAGGAGCCTGGGATCCGCATCTTAGGGCACCCCGGGTGACTGGTGACACCGTGGGGTCCTGGATTGCCCTGCCATCCCACAGTCCTGCAGCGGCTGGGACCTGGAGATGTTGGAGACCACAAAGGACCCACAGGCGCATGGGCGCGGCCTGCCTGGCGCCATCTGCTCCACATCGGCTCACGCCAGAGCCCCAGAGCACGAGGTCACATGGCAATGCCGGCTTCCCCCACCCCCAGCACGAGAGGGCTCGTCTCAGAATGGACAGAGCAGGCCCAAGGTGGGGACATCCTGGAGTAGAAGCTGAGAACCCCCGGGCTGGGGCTCTGCCTCTGAGGCCCTGGGAGACACACCCGGGTCAGCAGAGCACTCCCCACTGAGACCCTCCCAACGGGGCCATCACCCGGAGCCGCCCATGGGGCCCCTAGGCCCTCAGCACTGTGCAGGACCAAGCGTGCCCACCCAGCGCCCGGCCCTGCCCAGCTCCTACCTCCCCTCTGCACAGCCCTGGGAGCCCACGCCCCTTCCATCTATAACCTGGGCCCCACCCCCCTAGTTTGATTGTCAAGCACCCCCTTTCTTTCCAGCGACTCCTGTTAAGCACAGGGGCTGCTGGGGTTTCGGACACCCACAGATGGACCAAATTCCAGCCGGGGGGCAAAGCAGCTTCCGTGGGCTGGGGCCATGTGGCGGGCGAAGGCTGAGGGTTTATACCCTGTCCCTGTTTGCAGTCAGGATGATAACTTGAAGCTCAGGAGCTTTGCTGTCCCCTCCTGTGAGGTGGGAACAACACTAACTCCCCCCACCCCGCCCCAGGGGCCACTGAGACCGGGCATGCATAGGGCCTGGCACAGCAGGACCTCCCCACGGCCGGTTCCCTTCCTCCTGCCCCACATCAAATTCAGCATTTTAGAGTGCACCCTTCCACGGCCTGTGGGACATCCCCTACGGTGTGCAGCCATCACCTCTCTGGTTCCCAAATATTCTCATCATCCCCTGTAGCCACTAAGCCGTCCCCATGTCCCCTCCTCCCGGCCCCTGGCACTATCTCGTAGGATCAGCGTGGTCTTCTCATCTGGCTTATTTCACTTCCAATTGGCGCTTTTTTTTTTTTTTTAAGATTTGTTTATTTAAAAGTCAGAGTTACACAGAGAGAAGGAGAGGCAGAGAGAGAGAGAGAGAGAGAGAGAGAGATCTTCCATCCGCTGGTTCACTCCC